AAGTCAAATAGGCCTTCATTCACAGAGGCATCCAAGAAGGAAAGCATGCCTTGAAGCCATCTGAAACACAGCTGGTGGGAATTTAAACTGGCACGATGTGTTGGAGTACTACTGCCAAAATGCACCAAGAATATTTTTCCTCTTAGCGACTTGTAATAATAGCCTTATTAAGAATTCACACATTGTATAATTCATCCATTTAAGGTATACTTCAGTCGTTTTTAGTATGTTCACAGAGTTGTGCCACCATCACCACTTTATTATTTTAGAACATTTTCGTTAGCCTCAAAAGTAGCCTCACATCCACTAACAGTCATTCCCCACTGTCACCTTACTTTGTGGAATACTTAATTAAAGAATCTCTGTGTATCAAATCCCAGGCCAGCAGCTGGAAACCACTAATGTACTTTCTGTTTCTATGGCTTTGCCTATTCCGGACATTTCATATAAATGGAATCATACAGCATTTGGTCTTTTGTGTCTGACTTCTTTCACTTAGCATAATGTTTTCAAGTTTCTCCATCTATAAATAGATATAGTTTTACCTCTTCCTTAGCAAATAATGTCTTATTGCACAAATATTTTTTATTGTTTGTCCATGTTGGTGGACATTTGAGTTGTTTCCTGCTATGAAAAAGTGTACAAGTTTTTATGTACACATATGTTTCCATTTCTCTTGAGTATATACCTCAGAGTGGAATTGCTGTTATATGAAAAAAAAAACCCAACTCTGTGTTTAACCCTTTCACCGATATACTGTTTCCCACTGTGACTGTATCAGTTTCGCAATTCCATCAGCAATGTATGGGGGTTTCAATTTCTCCACATCTTTGCCAATACCTATTATCATCTTTCTTTTGGTTATAGCCATCCTACTGGGCATGAATTGGTATCTCATCATGATTTTTATTTGCATTTTCCTAATGACTAATGATGTTGAGCATCTTTTAATGTGTTTATTATCCATTAGTATGTTTTCTTTGGAAAAACGTCTACACAAACCGTTTGCCCATTTAAACTCTGGTTGCTTATCCTTTTATTGTTGAATAATAAGAGTCTTTACATATTCTGGATACATTGTCCTTATCAGATATATACTTTTTAAGTATTTTCTCTCATTCTCTGGGTTGTCTATTCACTTTCTTGACAATGTTCTTTGAACTATAGAAGTTTTAAATTTGGATGAAGTTCTATTTATGTCTATTTTTTCTTATTTTGAATAAGAAATAATGTCATATCTAAGAAACCATTGCCTAATCCCAAATCACCAAGATTTACATGTGTAAAATGCAAGGGATCCAGAATGCCAAAATAATCTTGAACCAAAAGAATAAAATAGGAAGACATACTTTCCAAACTCCAAACTTACTACAAAGCTACAGTATTTAAGACAGTGTCTTGGTGGTATAAGAATGATATATAGATCAATGAAATAAAATTGAGAGTAAAGAAATAAACCCCTATATGTAGTCCTATGACACATTTTGAGTTTTTGTACAAGGTGTGAGGTAGGGAGTTCAACTTCATTCTTTTGCAAGTGAACATCCAATTTTCCCAGCACTATTTATTAAAAAGACTATTCTTTCCCCCACGTAGTTGTCTAGGCATACTTCTTGAAGATCAATTGACCATAAATGTTAAGAGTTTATTTCTTAAATCTCAATTTTATTCCATTGATCCACACTTCTAAGCTTATGCTAGTATAAACTATCTAGAATAATATAGCTTTGTAGTAAGTTTTGAGATTGGAAAATTTAAGTCCTCCTATTTTGATTTTCTTGTTCAAGATTGCTTTGGTATCCTGAATCCCTTGAATTTTCATGCTGATTTTAGGAACAGTTTGTTCATTTTCTATTTTTAAAAAGGCAGTAGGAAATTTGATACATTTGATTGCGTTGAATCCGTACATCAATGTGGAAAGTACATTATCTTAACATTAAGTTTTCAAGTCCATGAATATGTGGTATCTTTCCATTTGTTTAGAACTCATTTAATTTCTTTCAACAAAGTTTTGTAGTTTTCCGTGTACAAACCTTCTATTTACCCCCTTGGTAAATTTTATCTCTTTTATGCTAATGTAATTAAACTGTTTTCTTAATTTCATTTTTGGATTGTTCATTGCAAGTGTGTACAAGGACAACTGATTTTTAATATTGATCTTATATCTTGTAACCTTGATGAACTCGTTTATTAGTTCTAACAGTTTGTTGGTGGATTTCTTAGGATTTTCTATGTGATCATGTCATCTGAAAAGAATCGCTTTTTACTTTGCCCTTTTAACTCTGGATACCATATGTGTCCCTAGCCTCTAGGGCTCACATGTTCAGCACATCCATAAACTTTCAATTTGTGATCCACTCTAGTGTCGGCACCAGGTAGGCCAGTGAACTTTGGTAGCTCAGCAAATCCGAGTTAGCTTGGAAGTGGCCAGGCTCTACTTGGTCCAGGTACCTGCAGTTTCTCCAGAAGGTTCTCTGAGAGCCCTTCCCCTTTGTGACTTGATGATGAAGAGAAGGAAAAGGCTGAAACACCATTTCCCAGGCACTTCATACTTTAATGGATTGTCCCTTTTTAAGGAATTTCTAGTCTTCTTTTCATATGGTCTGGAACTGAGTGACAGAATAATATTTAGGCAATCTGTTTAGACACTTATTTTTCTTTTTGTAGGTTTAGGGATACAAGTGCAGTTTTCTTACATGAATATATTGCATAGCTGTGAAGTCTTGGCTTTTAGTGTACCCATCACTCAAATAGTGTACATTATACTCAGGGTGGTATTTCTTTTTGTCTTTTCTTTTTTTGTTGCTGTTTTGTTTTGTTTTTCTTTGTTTTGTTTTGAGGCAGAGTCTTGCTCTGCCACACAGGCTGGGAGTGTAGTGGCGCAATCGCGGCTCACTGCAACCTCTCCCTCCTGGGTTCAAGCGATTCTCCTGCCTCAGTCTCCCAAAGTAGCTGAGAGTACAGGAACCTGACACCTCACCTGGCTAATTTTTGTATTTTTAGGAGAGATGGGGTTTCACCATTTGCCCAGGCTGGTTTCAAACTCCTGACCTCAAGTGATCTGCCTGCCTCAGCCTCCCAAAGTGCTGGGATTACAGGTGTGAGCCACCGTGCCTGCCTCAGGGTGATATTTCGTCCCTCACCACTCTCCCACCTTTTGGAGTCTTCAATGTCTGTTACTCCACTTTGTGTCCATGTATACCCTTTCTTTAGCTTCCACTTTTAAGTGAGAACATGTGGTTTTTGGCTTTCTGTTTCTGAGTCATTTCACTTAGGATACTGGCCTCCAGTTCCATCCATGTTGATGCAAAGGACATGATATCATGATAGATATACAAGTGCAGTTGTCTTTTTCATACAGTGGTTTCTTTCTTTCTTTTTTTTTTTTTTTTTTTTTTTTGGTGGGGGAGTGGGGTAGATAACCAGTAGTGGAACTGCTGGATCAAATGGTAGTTCTATTTTTAGTTTAGTTTTAGACACATGTAGTAAATGTTGTGTGGATAGACTTAAGAGCTCTTCTTTAGAAATTGAGGAAACATTTTATTGTACTATTCTATTTATGCTTGCATAGTGTATGGTCCTAAAATTCCTCTTCTAGGAATCTATCCTAAGGAAGTAATTAGGAATTCACGAAAAGATATAGCTTCAATGTTTAAACAACAACAAAAAAAATAGATTCAGTTTGTCCGTCCAATAAAAGAGAGCTTTTTAAATATCACAGAGGAATATTAGGTAGCCATTATTTAAAAAAATCCTAGAAGACCATTCAATGACATAAAAGGGTTTTTATAATATTGCTAAGTGACAAAACAGTTATAAAATAATACATATAACATGACTATTTTGTAGAAGAAAAAAATATATGCATAGGAAAAAAGATTGGAAGAAAAGAAATCAAATCATTGCAGGTAACAGGTATCTTTCATGTAATTTACAGGTCTTAATTTTCTTTTTATTTATCTCTATTCTAAATAACTATAACATTTGAGTAAAGAAACAAAGTTACTTTACTTTCGAGTAAAGAGAAACTTGAGCTGAGAGTCATTTTGTCTGAGAAGAGAAAACTCAGGTGGAACATACTTAAAGGGCGGCTACATAAAAGATGAAAGCAAGTTTTCTAATTGACCCTAAAGTAGCACTAAGGCCAAGAGGTGGAAGTTGTATAGACATTGGAGGCAGTTTCACCTAATTTGGATGATTTCTTGGTAGGGGTGATCTAGAAAGAATTGACTCAGAGTCTACCTATTACATGGTATAAGCATAAAAATGTTGATTGGCTGTGTAACTACACAAGGAGAAAGCTAGTTGATTTCCATCTATGATCACTGGTAATACTCACATGACATTGTATTTTCTCTGTCTTTTAGCCTGTTGGTATTTGCAACGGTTATCGGATACAAGCACGTTTGGAAGAGCTTGTCTCTGCGACTTGTGACTTCTTTGTAGCACAGGTATTTTTCAATCTAACTGCATGTCTTTCTGTGAAGAAGAGCAGATTATCTATAGCTACCTGCCACTACCTTACCCCAGCTTTGATTTTCCCAACCACCTTGCTCACCACTTTCCTCATGCTACCCAGAGGCCACACCCACAGCGTAGCTGGTCAAAGACCTGTTATGCTTTGCGTTAGTCACAATATGGTCCTGTAGAGTATGCAAGACAAATTCGGAAACAGGGAACTACAGGCTTGGATGTCATTCAAGCTTCTGAGACATTAAATTCAGTGTCCAAAGAAACCTTACCTCAAGCCACAGGGAGAAATCATTTCCATGAAAACATTCAGTACCTTTCCAGAAGTGTTTATTGAGCACTTATTGTAAGGTAGCCTGGTATATTTGAGAGGGCAGTTGAAACAGGACAGCTGGGATCCAGTTTTGCTCTGGTACCTGTGAGCTGTGTAAAAGGCACATCTGTTTGAGTTTTGTCTGCCTCGTTTATAAAATGGGATTGCAACACCTGCATCATTCAGATCCCTGTGAGAAGGAAGTTAAAGGACCTGAATAGAGGGTGCTGTACAGGGCCTGGTACTGAATAAACAATCAAGGAAAGGCACCTGCTGCTGCCACTACTGATAACAGAAAGATAGCTTGTTGGAGACTTTGAGTGAGTCATTGAATCTCTCTGGGCCATTATTCAGCTCTGAAATTGTGAGACTTAAGTTAAGCTTCTACAGGTCTTGGTTCCCCCTGGCCCTTATCTGTTTTATTTTTTAACCCTTTCACCAGGAGATCTATCCCTCTAATCCCTCTACCTAGTCTCCCTTTGAAATGTTCCAACAGAAAGGCACAGATCAGCTTAGGCTGGTACTAGGCATGGGAGGGCTTTCCCTATGGAACTCTGCATTTAAAAATGTTCTCATTTCAGGCTCCAGCCACTGGAAGTGAAAACTCTGCTGTTAACCAGAAACCTACAAGCCTTCCCAAGGTGAAAGAATCCCAGCAGAAAAACACACCGCCAGACTCCCCCTACAAAGCTGGGCCAAGAGGATCTGTCCAATACCTTCCTGACTTGGATGATGAAAATTCCCAGGAAAAGGGCCCTCAAGAGGCCTTCCCTGTGCATCTGGATCTAGCCACGAATTCTCAGGGAGAAACCCTGGATGTTTCCTTCCTCTTCCTGGGGCCTGTGGAGAAGAAGCTGGTTGTCCTGCCTTTCCCCAAAGAAGCACGCACTGCTGAGTGCCCAGGGCCAGCCAAGAATCCTAGCCCTCTTGTCCTTCCGCCGTGAGAATCACACAGAGTCTTCTGTAGGGGTATGGTGCACCGCATGAGATGAGAGGCAGAGAGACAGAGTGCCCACATGTAGAGACTGGCTAATGAAGGACACCTTTTTGACTCTTCTTGGTCTCAGCATGTTGACTGGGAATGGAAATAATGAGACTGAGCCCGCTGCTTGGGCTGCACTCTACCTTGTACACTGCCTTGTACCCCAGGCTGCATCCCCTTCTAAACTGAGCAGTCTCATGCCATGGATAGATGCCTCTTGTATGTCTTCAACCACTCACTTAGAAAGATTCTTATCCTTTCAGCAGTATATATGTGCTCAAATCTCAGCATGAAAGCCTCGCATGAGTAAAGATACTTTCCCTAACACAAAGAGACATATGAATCTGAGACCCAGCACAGTTTTAGTCCCTAAATTCCCTTTAATTCCAGGACAGGTATTAGCTGCATATGGCCCATACCATTTCCAACCCTCTACCTCTTTTCATCTGTCTGGAAGTCTCCAGGTCTCAAGAGTGAGGTAATTCACTTAGAACTGGGGACACATGGAAGAGAAGTGCACGTGTGGCCTGTGGTTGACACTGGCAGTACCAGACCATGACAGTTCTCATCATTGTTATAATTTCTCCAGAACAGACAGAGGAGGGCCCATTATAGCATTCAATTATAGTCTATGCTTTTCATCCTTCAAACACTGCAGGATCAATTTCCCCTCATTCAGTAATATATATGTGCACATGCACACCTGCACACCAGATAGGACGCTGGACATTTTGACAGAATTTGCAGATGCAGCTATTGTCCTCTATCCTGGCCGCTATTAGAAGAGGCACATAGGCCTTGGGGTAATTTGCATAAGAGAAGTAGACAATATTTGCACTCTGTTCCTCTTATCTGCTTCTCATAAGGAAGTGATTACGTGGGGGTGTCATGTGGGGTCTTACATCCTGTTGGTCAGGGTCTGAAAGAAGCAGAATTGTACTCAGGTGGCTCAACTAAAAAGACTTTAGTTGGTGTGGTGCGGTGGCTCCGCCTGTGATTCCAGCACTTTGGGAGGCCGAGGCAGGTGGACCACTGGAGGTCAGGAGTTTGAGACCAGCCCGGCCAACATGGTGAAACCCTGTCTCTACTAAAAATGCAAAAATTAGCTGGGCTTGGTGGTATACCATGTCTTCATTCCTTAGATCTCATTTCTTAGGTCATTGGTTCAAAGAGCCAATGGGAGGCGGAGATTGGAAGGAAGCAGGATGGGAGGGAGAAGGCATGGCATAATCCCAGCAACTCAGGAGGCTGAGGCAGAAGAATCGCTTGAACCTGGGAGGTGGAGTTTGCAGTGAGCCAAGATCATGCCACTGTATGCTGCCAGCCTGGGTAACAGAGATAGACTCTGTCTCAAAAAAAGAAAAAGACTTCAGTGAAGGGAACTTTAGTGAAGGCTTGTGGCCCAGGCGAAGGGAAGGTCAAGGGATGCTGAGGCACCTGGACAACAGCATCAGCATCAGGAGCCTTTGCCACCTGATGCTGAGCAGAAGCAGGAGTGGCTGGCTTCCCCAATCTATTGGAGCTGTCCGTTGGAGAAGCCACCCTGCAGGTGGAGGGGTGCAGCCCCTGCAGAACCTGGTGCTGGAGCGGGAAGGAGCAGGGAATAAGTACCCTTCCCTTCCCCTCCCTTCCTGCTTCCTTCCAATCTTCTCCTCCCATTGGCTCTTTGAACCCAATAGTAAACTAGCCAGCAGGGGAGCCTGGGTTATTCACTTCCCTGGAGCCAGCCTGAAAGAAGCAGACAAGGCCAGGCAGAGAAAGTCAAAGGATGGGCCTGAGGCAAACAGAGAGAAACCATTACAAGCCCCAACTGGGGTTTCCCAAGGGGTGTGCAATAAGGCCCTTCTACACTGGTAAAAGGATGGCGAAGGGCCTCAAACTTTGTGGCTCCTCCTACCTACCACCTCCTTTCTCTTTCCATGGCTTAATTTGTGAAAAACTAGATTATTCTCATGCTTGCCACTTCCTCACCACCTCTTCATTCCTTAGGTCACTGTAATGTGAATCCATCTCTTTTCCTATAACCCACTGACTTGGTGTTCCCTAACAATCTTTTATTCTAAATTTTTAAAAAAGAAGCATTTCTGTTCACTTTTACTTACACTTTCAAGGATCTGGCAATGCTGACCTTGCTTGCTTTTTAGACTTTTTCAAGTAGACTTTGCCCCACATCCTCCAGGTTTTTCTTCTATCTTTCTGACCACTCCCCCTCATGTCCCACCTTGGTTCCTCTTCTCTGGCTCATCTCTCAGGTGCTGTTTCTCTGGCTTTCTGTCCTTGATCTTTCTTTCTTACTCTGGAGACTCCAGGCAGACAAGCTAATCTACACCCTTGTCAACAGTTGCAAAATGCTGCATTTATTACTGATCTCAGGCTCTTGTCTTCAAGTCATCAGTAGTTTGCAAATTGCTAACACTAATCTACAACAAAATTTTGGGAGCTGGGTATTTCTAGTTATATAATATTAAGAGTTATCTCAGGTGAATGTTTAAAATGAACATATTCAACAACAGAAAAATGAAAAACCCAAGTTAAAAATGAGTAAAACATTAAAAAAAAAAATGAGACCGTGTCTTTTGCAGGAACATGGATGAAACTGAAGGTTATTATCCTTAGCAAACCAATGCAGGAACAGAAAACTCATGCTCTCACTTAGAAGTGGGAGCTAAATAATGAGAACACATGGACAGGTAGAGGGAAGCAACAGACACTGGGGCCTACTTGAGGCTGGAGGGTGGGAGGAGGGAGAGGAGCAGAAAAACTGTTGGGTACTAGGCTTAGTACCTGGGTGACATATAATCTGTACAACACACCCCTATGACATGAGTTTACCTATATAACAAATCTGCACAGGTACCCATGAACTTAAAAGAGAAGTTTTAAAAATAAAAATAAGCAAAATATTTAAACCTCACCCCAAAAAATATAAAGATGGTAAGTAAACATCTGAAAAAATGCTGAACTTTAGTGAACTTCATATGTCATCAAAGAAATGCAAACTGTAATAACAATGAGATACCACTACGCATCTGTGAGAATGGCCAAAATCCAGAACACTGACAATACCAAATGGTGGCAAGGATGTGGACCAAAAGAACTTCTCATTCATTGCTGCTGGGAATGCAATGGTATGCCATTTTGGAAGACAGTTTGGCATTACTTTCAAAACTTAACATACTCCTATCATATGATCCAGTAGTCACACTCCTTGGTATTTACCCAAATGAGGTGAAAACTTATGTCCATACAAAAACTCCCACATGGATATTCATAGCAGATCTGCTCGTAATTGTTAAAACTTGGAAGCAACAAAGATGTCCTTCACCAGGTGAGCGGATAAGTAAATCTAGACAATGGAATATTGTTTGGCACTAAAAAAAATAATGAATGTCAGGCCATAAAAAGACACAGAGGAAGGTTAAATACATATTACCAAGTGAAAGAAACCAATCTGAAAAGATTAAATACTGTATGGTTCCAACTATATAACATTTTAGAAAAGGCAAAATTATGAAGACAGTAAAAAGATCACTGGTTGCCAGTGGCTAGCAAGGAGACAGGGATGGAATATGTGGAGCACAGGGGTTTTTAAGGCAGTGAAACTGTTCTGTATGCTACTACAACAGTGGATACATTTCATCATTTGCTGAAACCTGTAGATGTACAACATCAAGAGTGAATGCTAATGTAAGCCATGGACTTTAGATGATAACGATGTGTCATTGTAAGTTCATCAGTTGTGATAAATGCTCTGCTAGTGTGCAAAGGTTTATAGTAGGGGAGACTGTGAGTGTGAGGGGCACATGTAGGGGCTCCATAGGAACTCTGTACTCTCCACTCATTTGCACTGTCAACATAAAACTGCTCTGAAATAATAAAGCCCATTTTTAAAGTAAATTAACAAACTAGGTGGATCACGAGGTCGGGAGTTTGAGGCCAGCCTGACCAACATGGTGAAACCCCATCTCTACTAAAAATATAAAAATCAGCTGGGTGTGGTGGTGCATGCCTGTAATCCCAGCTACTCAGGAGCTGACAAAAACTGTGTTTTCTTTAAAAACTGACTCCTATTATAAAAAATTAAATGTCATAAAATTCTGTCAACCAGTCTAGTGATTCTCAAAGAAATAGAGATTTACAAAGAGGTCGATTGTAGCATGACTTATAAGAACAAATAAATGGAACAAATATGCATGGCCAAAACTTGGGGAACATTTAATACATTAACACATATATAACACACAATATTATGTAATCTCAAAATAATCTTTCTGAAGAATATTTAATGATCTGAGAAAGTTCTCAAGGTATAACCTTAAGGGAAAATACAATATTTAAACCACATATAACAAGGAATTGTTAAAAGTCCTTATCTTGGCAAAGGGTTTGGGGGGTGAGGAATGGAGGAAAGAGGCTTAATTTTTATTTTATAATATCCTAAAATATTCTGTTTGCTTTTTTACTTTGCGCAGGTATTATATTTATGACTAAAAATTGTATACTTAAAAATAACTCAAGATTTTAAAATCCTATAAAAACACAAAAACATTTATAAAGCTTATATGGTTTTTATTAATACCTGAAAAAAATAGAGGTTATAAGTAAGTACATACTCAACTACAGTGGAGGAAAAGAAACACTTGTATGTATAGAATGATTCTAATGATGCAATATATATATACATTTTATTGCACTTTAGGCTCTGAGGTACATGTAAAGAACATGCAGGATTGTTGCATAGGTACATACATGGCAATGTGGTTTGCTGCCTCCATCCCCATCACCTATATCTGGCATTTCTCCCCATGTTATCCCTCCCCAACTCCCTACCCCCTGCAGTCCCTCCCCTAGTCCCCCCCAACAGACCCCAGTGCATGATGCTCCCTGCCAAATATATATATTACAAATATTCAAATAGCAAAAAGGGTATGAAGCAATTATATATTATAAATAGTTGGTTTTCCTCATGGTTGTAGAATTACAGGTGAATTTTCCTTATGCTTTTTGTATTTTCCACATTTTTTGCAAAGAGCATGTGTTCTATTATGAGTCAAAAAGCTTTAAAGTATAAAAATTCTGTTAAGTGGCTGGGCACAGTGGCTCACATCTGTAATCCCAGCACTTTGAGAGGCCCAGATGGGTAGATCACAAGGTCGGGAGCTCGAGACTAGCCTGACCAACATGGTGAAACCTGTCTCTACTAAAAACACAAAAATCAGCCAGGCATGGCGACGCGCTCCTGTAATCTCAGTTACTCAGGCGACTGAGGCAGGAGAATCACTTGAACCTGGAAGGCGGAGGTTGCAGTAAGCTGAGATTGTACCACTGCAGTCCAGCCAGGGTGATAGAGCGAGACTCCGTCTCAAAAAGAAAAAAAAAAAGTCTGTTAGGTAACTCTTTTTTCTGATAAAATAGCCAGGACACCCAGAAATAACCTAAATGCAGAATGAAAATGTTAAGACAGCTGGGCGCAGTGGCTCATTCCTATAATCCCAGCACGTTGGGAGGCCGAGGCTAGTGGATCACCTGAAGTCAGGAGTTCGAGACCAGCCTGACCAATATGGTAAAACCATGTCTCTACTAAAAATACAAAAATTAGCCGGGTATGGTGACAGGGGCCTGTAGTTGCAGCTACTTGGGAGGCTGAGACAGAAGAATTGCTTGAACCTGGGAGGCGGATGTTGCAGTGAGCCGAGATGACTCTACTGCACTCCAGCCTGGGCAACAGAGTAAGACTCTGTCTAAAGAAAAAGAACAAGGAAAGAAAAGAAAATGTGAAGATGAAGATTCTACCTGCCTTAGTTTGCCCAGATACCATCTGTGTAAAGTCAGCACTTCCATCCGAGGCCACTCTGTGGTTCCCCTAATGCTAACAGGAACCATCCCCAAAGCCAAATGTCACTTCCGGATCATTGAGAGTCCTCAGGACAGAATGTCTCTCTTACTACCATTCTGCCTCCTCCCGACCATGACTATCCCAGCACCCTAATGTGCTCTCTCCCCTGAAGCTACTCCAGATGCTAGAATGGCATCGTGAGTACTTGTATCGCTCTTCAAGACTCAATAAAGCAAGAGGAAGAGGATGCATGGTTCCCTGAGGTACCCTTACTCTCAGCAGATCAGTACTGTAGAAAACTCATATTCTTATTCTGGATGCCTCTTCCCAGCCCCTCAACATTCCCCTCCTTTCCCTACACCAGCATTTGGCTCACCCAGGACATCCCACGTAGGGTGCAGCCAATATAGCCATAATAGAAAGGCTTCATTAAGGAGCTCAACTCATAATAACAAAAACTCAAAATAGTTTTTGTTTTCATCGGTAGCTTTCCCCTTCCCCACTGAGTTGCAGCCTTTTAAAAACACCTTGAGCAGATTCCCTACATTCCTGTCATTCTCAGTTATAATGGACTGGTCCCATTGGGTATTTAAAAGCCAGGGTTACTGACATTAAAAGTTCATTGGCAAACATTATTCAAAACATGTTGCACTCATTAACCCTGTGACTTGTGGAAATGAGGTCTACTTTTCATATACCTCCCTTGTCTTTCTCTCTTCAAATCCTTTCCCTCTCTTCAGTTGTCTCTAGAATCTCAGTAATTCTCAACCTTGACTGCACACACTGGATCACCTAGGAGTTTTAAAACGACTCATACCAGAGTCCACTCCCAGAGATTCTGATTAAATTGGTCCTGGAGGGAGTCCTTGACATCAGCACTTTTTAAAGCTCATGGGGTGATTCTAATATGAAGCCAAGTCTGAGAGGCGTGAGTGCGGACCCTCACAGATACTCACGGTAGAGGCAGAACAGGAAGGAATGGCGATGATGCCTAACTGGCTGTGGGTAGTGAAGACGGAACCTAGGCTGATTCCCTCTGGTCCTTTCTGATGCTGCTGGCTCTTCTGGTCTGAGGGTTACATGTAGGTATATAGGTTTCTTCTGAAGGGTGAGGGTAGGGGGTCAGCTGTGTCAGAGCCCAGTTCCCCCACTGCTGATCCCCTCTCACAGTGGGATGGGCATCCAACTATTTGACTCTTGCTGTCACCACCATCCTCTTCCACACGAACCAACTCTTTTCGGCATGCTTTGAGGGCCACCGAGAATTGGGATGACATAAGGTGTCCCCAACTTCTTTGCAGGCACATAATAATAATAAATAGCATCACTTATTTGGCATCTACTCTATGCCAAGAATTATATTGGTTGCTTCATATTGGTTGTTTTCTTATTTAATTATCACACAAGCCTGCCAAGAGGTAACAATCCATATTTTATAAATGAGTAAACTAAGAATTGGATAAGTGGCCAGGCACGGTGGTGCATGCCTTGTAATCCCAGCACTTTGAGAGGCTGACGCAAATGGATCACCTGAGGTCAGGAGTTTGAGACGAGCCTGACCAACATGGTGAAACCCTGTCTCTACTAAACACAAAAAGTTAGCTGGGTGTGGTGGCGCATGCCTGTAATCCCAGCTACTTGGGAGGCTGAGGCAGGAGAATCGCTTGAATCTGGGAGGTGGAGGTTGCAGTGAGCCAAGATCACGCCATTGCACTTCATCCTGGGCAACAAGAGTGAAACTCCGTCCCAAACAACAAAAACAACAACATCAACAATAGCAAAGAATCAGATAAGTTTTGTTGCTTACCCAGCAGTACACGGTAAGAAAGTAATAGAGCTAGGTTAGAAATTCAGATCTGACCTCAAAATGATAGCCTCTTAATTATTCTATTTCACCTAAAGTCACTTCCTTTATGATGGTACCTGTTTAACATGTTACCTCTCTAAGATAATGCAGCTGCCATCTACTGAGGAGTTTTAGTGCCATGATCAACTGACTGATGATGGAGATTTCCAGCTGAGACAGACAGGCAAATGGAGGAAAATTACCCCTAGACCCCCCGCCTACATCAGCATAGGCAGTGCTTATGTTCAAAAACGTACTTTGGATCTGCTACCTACTAGAAAAATCCAGATCTGTGCAGATCACGGTTCCACCCTCTCATCAGCAGCATTTCTCAACTTTCTGACCCCAGGACCCACTAATCATTTACAGCTTGTTGATGGTTATTTGAACTCAGGGTCAAGGTGAACATCCTCAGTTACACAAGGAAAATGTATAAAGGTTTTGTTTAATTAATTGCGTGTGTCTCAGAAAGTCTGTATAAAATTCTCCGCGGTGGATGATCATAGCAAGGGATGGTTTAACAAAATGAAGGCATTCATTGCAGCACTGCTTTTGATCACACTGCAGTATTCGTGTGCTGTGAGTCCCACTGACTGCAATGCTATTGAGCCGGAGGCTGAGAAAGCTCTAGACCTGATCAATAAAAGGCGACGGGATGGCTACCTTTTCCAATTGCTGCGGGTTGCTGATGCCCATTTGGACAGAGTGGTGAGGAATGGCCAATGGCAGAGTTCAGTTGGGAGACTATGCACCGGGGGCAAATGTGATTCTACCCCCAATGCTTACTGCTTTGCACAGTGGATGGCTTTGGTCAGAGTTTTCTGTTTGGCTTCTGTGGCTGCTCTAAATTGTTCTTTTTTCCTTCAGACTAACGTTTGGTATTAGTATGCCCTTAACTATGATTTAATTTGTGAGTACATATAAGCATTTATGCTGAGCCCAGTTACATGCTAAGTACTGCCAGAGAAACATTAGAATAAACTATGGCCCTTGGCCTCCAGGAAATGATAATATGCGGCACATACAGGCAAACTGTGTAAGTTAGGATAAACTCGAGAGAAGGAAAAGTCTTCTCAACCCTCCTAAGGCTCCTGACTGAGCCTGAAGTAAAACTGGTAGACAGATTAACAGAAGAAAATATTCAAATTTATTTAACCCAAGGTTTACCTGACACAGAAGTCTTCATAAATGAAGACCCAGATATCCAGGGAAACTGCCCACTTGCATACTTAGAATTGATGAAGAGTGTACAGAATGCAGAAGTAAGATGGGACAAAAGAAGGAAGGACCCCGCAAGGTCTGTCTGTTTGAATTCTCCTTGACCTCTCTGTGTGGCATTTCTTGCCCCCAAGTATGGAGCAGGATCCCTCTGGTATGCAGATCTGAGCACCTACTATCAAACAGAGTAGGTCAGAGAATTTCTTTATGGCCAGCTCCTACAAAGAAAGACCCAGGGGGAAGGTTAGATTCACATTTTAGGATTTATGGATGCTTTCAGGGAGAGGGCTTCCATCTTCTGTGATTTGCCCTGGAGAAGAGAAATTTTAGTTCCTATGGCTTGGGGGAGAAAGCAGAGTAGGAGAACAAGGGGCAGGAGAAGGTCAGACAGGTCTTGCCCTTCCCATTTCCTTCTGTTCAAAGGACTCAGCATGACAAAGTACCATACTTTGAGGTATCATGTTTTGAGCCCCAACAATAGCCAACAGATAAAAGGAGTGGTAAATGTACTGGAGCAGTTTAATGAGGGGAGATTTAGTGAGACTGGATGGGAGGAGGCTTCCGCTGTGTAATAATGCGTCGGTAGGATTTGAACAGGTCTGTGAAAGGTGTTCCTGGTGAATTCCTGGCACCACCACTTCTAGGAGGGTAGGGAATCAGGAGGAAGGGTGTTAGGGAGCCACTGAATATAAGCAGGGGGGTTCCAGAAGTTCCATGTGGGCTCTGAAGCAGCCATCAGGTGGGAGCAGAGCCTGTGGGCTTGTCTTGAGGTGAAGCAAGCTTAGTCTTCACTTAGATTACATGCCTGCCTAAATTGGACTCTAGGAGCTCATAGACATTACAGAGAGACATGAAGCCTCCCTCTAAGCCCCCAAAATAGCCTACTCTTCCTCTGATGGAAAAACTGAAATTAGCGAGGCCAGACAAGGAGTACTGCAGAGGACAATTTACCCTTCTGAAAGTATCACAGAGGGAGGCACAGCGAGTTGCAGAGAACAGGTGTGCAGGAATTTAGGATTCAACCAGTAATTCAGTGACCATTAGTCCCATGCCAGGTTCATCATCACATGTTAGGGCACAGGATGCCTCCACACAGAGCTACCACTGAGAGCTAGCATACCTGGCCTGCCTGGGGAAACTGAGGCAAAAGATGGGGACATGAACTAGAAAGCTATTTACGTATTCAGGAATGAAAGAACAAGGATGAGACTCGGGTAGTGGGAGGCAGGGCAATGAGACTAAGGAATAGACATGAGACACATTTACAAGAAAGGCTATTCAGAGCCTAGTGACTAGATAGCCAAAGCAAGGACAAGAGCGACATCTCGTAAGTTTACATGTTTTACCCCAGAGGCTAAGGCAGTATGTAATTAATGGTGCCACTGGCAAAGACGAGGGAAGTGGAGAGGCAGCTGGTTTGCAAGGGAAGAGAGAGGATTTAGCTTTGGGCACAGTGACATCAAGGCAGAAAATCCATGTTCAGGAATAGACCTGGGCGAGAGGACACAACTACAAGGACAGATTGGAGGCCCTGATGAGGCCGTCATCGCCTAAACTTCTAGGCGTGTATAGGTGATGACACCTCCACTAACCCACCGCTGCCATTTAGTGATAGCTTCTTAAAGTTCATGGGCAGAAGACACATCAGGACCACTCAAAAAGAAAATCTGGAAGTAACTTATTGAAGCTATTTATTGGAATCAATAGATGAAATGACACAAAAGTAGGGCATCTGCAAAGACAGGAAGAGGAACAGGAATTCTATAAAACTAGCACCATCATCTAAATTAATTTACCATAGACTGGCCCTGTTCATACAGGAATTTCTATTTGGAGAAGGTTGATTTGAGAATCGATTACATGCCCTTGGAAAATAGGGGTGTCTACAAAAACCCACCCTGGCTTAAACTACTTAAGGGATAAAAGGAAAAAGAATCTCAACCATTTTAAGATAATTGATCGTTTGTAAAGTTTTCAATGCTTAGTTATTTAAAGAAAATTTAATTAAAATATATCTAGGAAGAATAAAGTTTGCTAACATGTTCAAAAAACTTTACCAAAAAAAAAAAAGAAAGAAAGAAAGAAAGAAAGAAATATATGGCCTTAATTAAAAAAAAAAAACAAAAAAAAAACCCCACTAGGCTTCCATGTGCCACTCACATGTTGCTTTTGGCATTCCTCAGGAAACTGCAACTATATATTACTTAGCCTTAGATGTGCAAGAATCTAACTGCTGGGTCCTATCCAGGAAACACGGGAATGACTGTGAGCCTGCTGGTTCCAGACGTCCATCTGATATAGTAAGTAAACAGGGTACCTTCGCTTTGCTCTTATCATTCTTATTTTCCATCTACTCTGTTCATTCAGGGCAGCCAATGCCTGGGCTAACACAGCAGAAGAGAAAGGGCAGCTTTTGCCTTGAGATTCATGAAGATGATGTTGACCTTGACCAATACTCCTGAGAGTCTTTCCTGGGAACCCAGTTCAAGACAACTCGGCAGGGCTGTGGTCCCATGAAAGAGCATGACCAGTTGTGAGTCCTTGGGCATTCATCTAATAACATCCCTCCACTTCGGTGTTTTTTGACTGCAAAGTAAGAAGTGGGTTTAGGAATTCACAGACTCTCAGGGCTTTCTTGTCTTGACAGTCTATAGGCATGAGAATCTGTGAACTTGTGATTGTGTCCTATGAACAATGGTCCTGTTTTCAGGAATGGCCAAAGGGATAACTTGCAGTGAGGAGTTGGGTCTTGTTCAGCATCTAAGACATACGCTGAGGAATAAGATCTGGCTTTGCATGTGGGAGGTGGGTACTCAAATGCCAGGCTCTCTGACACAGGGGGAGAATGTGAAGATGAATAAGCACAGATTCAAGATCTCATTTCCAGAAAATGAGAGGTTCACACTCCTGGGAGTTTCACCACTTTTTCCCTTGAAAATGTTTGGGGTATGGTCATGATACTTTAAATAGTTTCTCGCTGGTTCTCATGAGGATTTTGAGTGCCAACAGGATGCAGCACACAGACACTGACTATGAAAATGCAGGTTTTGAGACAAGCTCTGACGAAGGAAATGCGTTTTAAGTGAACAGTAGGAGGATGCTGCATCACCTTTTTGCTCTTTCACATCCGACCTGAGGAAGGCAGGATGCAGTGACTCAGCAAGCCCTCAAGAATCTCTTTCTTACAGGTGATCGGACAATGTAAGGTAATAGCTATAAGACATTCCCGTGAATCTCAGGATCTCAGAGTGATTGACTTTAACTGCACCACAAGTTCTGGTACGGTAATCTGCTAAATTGCTAATTAATTCTTGATTCATACAAATTCAATCAGACAGTGGTATTTGTCTCATCTATGTACATATATATTAATGTGTATTCATATTTATTCAGGTACATATACGATGTACATGAAAGAAAAGCCCTCATAGGCTCCATTATTATTCATTCTCCAGAGAATAGAAGACAGACAAGTTTCCCCTGGTCCTGGTACACCTTCCTTTAAAGAAATCCAATACATAAAAATAGAGATTTATGAGAGGTTGGTTAACATTATTATACACGCAGGCTGTGGAGTGTCAGACTTGCTTTAGCTTGAGTCATCATCTGCCAGTTGTATAATCTTGGGAGGAAGTAAAGACTTGGGACTATGAAGTAAAGATTATGATACTTTCTATTTAAGACAAAATAATTGAGGCTCAAAGAGGTTAAAGACTTGGCCTTGAGAACAAGGCCAAGAAATTGTGAATACATGCCACTATCCAAAGAGTATTAACTCTAAATTCCATACCCTTTTAATTGACATTTTCAAAAAGAATTATCACAGAATTCCTTCTAAAAATAGCAAATCCAAATATGATGTTATATACAAAAAAGCAAGGTACTTCCATAGGAGGTTGCATTGAAGAAAGGATGAGCTGTATCTTCTCCTCTTTCTGAGCAAAACTATATGTTAATGTTCCCTCTTCCTTCTCGGCAACAACAGGAAGAACTTATTAAAATATTAGTGGCCTGACACCTATATTCCCAGCACTTTGGGAGGCTGAGGGCTGAGGGTTGCTTGAGCCTAGGAGTTTGAGACTGCCTGGGCAATGTGGCACGACTCCATCTCTATCATTTAAAATACATGTATATATGTTAGCACTTTATCAATGGTACTGGTGAAGGCATCACGAGTAGGGGTCACAACACAGACATGAGGATCAGAAAGACTGGAAGGAAGAATCAGCAGTTTAATTCTGTTGCTGAATGGCTGATTGATCTTAAAGTAGTTACTTAGCTCTTCCAAGCCTCAATTTGCCCATCTGTAAAATGAAAGTTATTGTCATTCTTGCCACCATTAACATTTATAGCCCGTAACTGTGACACTGCCATCTTCTCTCTCCAGTCTCTTCAGCACTGGCCAATACCAAAGACAGTCCTGTCCTCTTAGATTTCTTTGAGGATACCGAGCCCTACAGAAAACAAGCTGACAAAGCCCTTGAGAAGTACAAAGAGGAGAATGATGACTTCGCCTCTTTCAGAGTGGACCAAATCGAGAGAGTTGCAAGAGTGGTGAGTCTCCACTAAGGTTCATCTGGAGTCTGAGGGCCCAGACTCCAACCTGGCAGCAAGAACTGAACAACACATCCTCTCCACCTGCCTCAATTGACCAGCTGCCTTTTAATTTGCCACCTTTGGGACCATAAAACACAGGGAGCAGTTATAAAAAAAATACCTAAAATTGCCTTCCTGAAACACTTTTATTTTTTGAAGGATGGGTAGGGCAGTGGACATCTGACAGAGAGGAGGGAAAATCTAAAGAAGAAACAGGGAAAGGCAAGAGCATATGAGGGTTGTGTCATTATAAATCACCCAATACTAACCTTCTTGTACTACGATGGAAAACTGAGGTTCAGAGAAATGGCCTCACCACACCCAGTAATGTGCCTAAAATTAGATGGTTCCCTGCTCTCTCCACAAGGAGCCAAGTGCTCTCGCCCAGAGCTATCTTATAGAACAACGGGTTGACATTTGCTATGCATTCAGAAAATGCAACGTTAAATAGATTGTGTTGCATACAAGTAAAGAACTGGGTACCATGCAGGTGCTCAAAGAATGTTTGCAACCCATGTGCACTGGAAAGAGTTTCAAGACACATTGGTAAGAAAAAGGCAGGTTATAGAACAGCACTTAGACTATGAGGCCATTTATATGAAATATTCAGATCTACCTGTGTATGTGTAACTATCTAGGAAAACACTCAAAGAGGAAACACATCAACTGAATGAGAATGAAAACTGAGAAGCTGGAGTGCAGGAGGGGTGATTTTTCATACTCTACTTCATGATGTATTTATTATTTGAAACTTTTCAGTGAAATGGTATTCACCTTATCACTTAGGTGATATAGAAACCATTTAAAAAATGAAATGTGTTGGTGATTTTGAATTCTCATACTGCCTTACAAAATATTGAATGGTAGGTATCTACTGCTTTTTTTTTCCTTTTTCTTTGTCTGGTCTTGAAACTATTTTGATCCCATATGTTCTAGAGAGGAGGGAAAGGAACCAGTTACTATGTGGACTTCTCTGTGCGGAACTGTTCCAGGAACCATTTCCCCAGACACCCTAATGTGAGTATAAGAAATGTCTGTGATCGTCGACTAGTGTCACAGAGAAAAAAGAACGAGAAGAAGCAGCAGAAGAAGGAGAAGGAGGAGGAAGAAATGTCTATGAAATACAAAGTATTATCTGGGAAGCACAGTACCTGCCAGGCACTCTTCTAAGTGCTTTACACATAGGATAACCTGTTTTTGTTTTGTTTTGTTTTTGAGAGGGAGTTTCGCTCTTGTTGCCCAGGCTGGAGTGCAATGGCACGATCTCGGTTCACTGCAACCTCTACCTGCCGGGTTCAAGTGATTCTCCTGCCTCAGCCTCCCAAGTAATTGGGATTACAGCCATGCGCCACCCTGCCCAGCTAATTTTTGTATTATTAGTAGAGATGGGGTTTCAACATGCTGATCCTGACCTCGGGTGATTTGCCAACCTTAGCCTCCCAAAGTGCTGGGATTACAGGTGTGAGCCACTACGCCCAGCCTATGATAACTTATTAAGCCTCACACTACCATATGAGATAGATACTATTTTTATCCCAAATTAGCAGATAGGGAAACTGAGGCACAGAGCACATAAGCGAATCATAAGAATATGATTTTAAAATATACATGATATACACCTATACTTAAAACTAAGTTTCTTAACCCGTTAGGATTAAAGGCTTAGTTAAAACGATAGCAACTTGTACTAAGACCCTACACCTAGTGGTTTTATTAATTCCATAACACTGACACTCACAGGAATCCCACCTGATAAATTGAGAAGGTAACTGAAGCTCAGCAAAGGAAAGGTCTTGCCAATGTTCACAACTAAACTGAGATTAAAACTTAGTTATTCTCATACAAAGTCCAGCGGGATTTTTTTCCTCTAATCATTTACAAATAGATC